CATTGTAATGAAAGATTTGCTTCAAGGGAGCCATTTATAAAAAAAACATTCGAGAGAAGAACATAGGAACAAAAATGGAGACACTGGTCATACGGAATAATCAGGTTTCATCGTATAATCTGTCGTAGATAAGGAAGCAAAAAATCTATTTGTCCTCAGACTAAAGCAAAACCTGATGGTGGTTTTCACCAATCACAAATATACAAATATACCGTATTTTTCCATCTATAAGACGCCCCCATGTATAGGACGCCCCCCACTTTTCTTACCCAAAATTCAGAAATCAATATTTTTCATGCTCTTTTGCATAACTGATTACATCCAGTTGAAATTTTGCAGAGTAAGACAGCCGCTTACTGGTACCGGTATTTTTATGGGCTCAGAATACTCCGACATTACCGCTCCCTGTTACATCTGGGTACTGGCTACAGGCTCTCCGCAGCATCAGCTGACGTCGGGTACATAAGGCTCATGATTGGAGGAAACCTGTTAGCTTGTCTCTGCTATCGAAAATTTCACTCGCTAGGCTAGTTTGCAGAGGTATCGGCAGTTTCGCAACCGCGGTTCTCCTCTCGGCCCCCCGTGTATAAGACACCCCTCCATTTTTAGGTCAATATTTTGAAGAAAAAGTATAGTCTTATACACGGAAAAATACGGCACTTTTAAATATTGGGATGGGGAGACGGTTTACAATAAGAAGCAGTTTATTCTTTATTCAGGAGGTGATGGCAATCATGCTTTGCATTGTTGTAGTGTGTCAGATAATTTTTAGTTTACCAAATTACCAAATTAGTAATAAGATGAAACCAATAAAAAGAAACCATTCAAACTTACATAGTGTAATGTTACTCGGTACGACAAGACAAATGAAGTGCAAATCTGCAACGGCATTAAACACAGATCTGTGAACAAAAAAAGAAAATATTAATACTGGAATAGTTTGTGGTATTTTTCTCCCCCTTATTTTAGTCTGATGCAGAAGCCCTCGGTCAGTACTTTGAGATTCCCAGAGACAGATGCTTGATGGGATTTATAGTTTCACTACAACTGGAGTGCCAAGGTTGCCTACCCCTGGTTTATGGTTTTGTTATGATCAGTTGGCCCAATGTCAAGACAACTTGGGTCAAACAGTACATAAAGGTCAAATGTATCCAAAACTATTTTTTCTGTCTTGTAGACACTATTAAGTTTAATAACCTGCCAGCTCATACCCCAAGTGGAATCTGCTAACAACAAATCCCATTTTTTTACCTTCCTTAAGCTGGCCATACACCTATAGACTATCTGCAGATTTTCTATGGTCAGATGGAAAAAGTGCAACAGATTTATCCATCTACACTAAACTGTGTGGATGGAGAAATCTCCCGCTGGGCCAAGCTTCATTATCTTGCTAGTGGGCCCTGCTGGCTCTCAAAATACCTGAACAATCTGATTGGATGAGATTGATTGGGTAATCTGATGTAAACAGAGGCCCATCAATTTAGATCTGGTTGCCCATACACTAACATGGATCTAGTAATGTCAGTTTTTAACTCCACTGCAAGATAGAGAAACTGCACGGACACGGATGTCCCAACAATGACATCTGTTCTGATCAGGAGGGAATCCAAGTATGGATCCCCTCCTGATCAGACCGCGTGAAGGGGGCCTTACAGTTAAATAAACTAGGAGGGGGCCAAGACATCAACATTTGGCTCTGCAATTGCTGCAACAGGGTTGGCACCAGGAACATTGGCCATCAAAGACTTTGAAATGTATAAAAAGCCAACATTAGGTTTTAGTCATTAGGTTTTAGAATGGCTGCCCTAAAGTTAAATATACAATCCTAAAGGACTTGACCTTTAAAAGTTACAGATCATAAGTTAACATCAGTGGCTGTATGACTAACAAGGGCACATGCCTTTCATATAAGATTTAATTGTGCCGTGGATTGTTTATTCCAAGAAAACTAAATTAAACTGTAAAATGTCACATAATGCATGATAGGGACAAGTGCTTCAGACATGGAACAAAAGCAAATATTGCAACAGATGTTCCTCTCCCATAGAGACGGTACAATGTGTTCTGTCAAGTGAATACATATGGAGATTAAAAGGTGAGCGAGGAGACACTGAAAATAACCCTCAGAAGATCTTTCATGAATTATACATTCCGAGTGCACACATATTTTCATATATTAAATCTTTGTCAAATTCACATCGGGTTTTTAGAGGGTTTATATTTTCTTTTGATACTTCTTTTGTTTGTTTTCACTCATGGCACCTTTAAAAGTATGGAAATCTCAAGGCACCTAAATCTAAAATGTACAAACGGAAATGTGGTTCCTCAAGAATCCATATCAGACTCCTATCTGGGAATTTAGGGTGCAACTCCTCGCAAAAACACACAAAAAATGTGGGAGTGACTTCACATCAGAGTCACCCCCTCTAACACTAGGAGTCCCCCTTCACATCATAAGCCCTCTTTACATCAGAAGCCCCCCTTTCACATCAGAGGTCCTTTTTACATAAGAAGCCCCCCTTTTACTTTAGAGGTCCTCTTTACATAAGAAGCCTCCCCTTCACATCATAAGCCCTCTTTCATATCAAAGTCCCCCTCTTTTACATCAGAGTTTCTCCTTCACATCATCAGCCCCCTTTCACATTAGAGTCCCTCTTTTTACATCAGAGTTCCCCCTTCATATCAGAAGCCTTCTTTACATAAGAAGCCCCCCTTCACATCATAAGCCCTCTTTCATATCAGAGCCCCCCGCCCCCCCCCCTCTACATCAGAGTAACCCCTTCATCAGCCCCCTTTCACATTAGAGTACCTCTTTTTACATCAGAGTTCCCCCTTCACATCAGAAGTCCCCTCCATTCACATCATAAGCCCCCTTTCACATTAGAGTCCCTCTTTTTACATTAGAGTTCCCCCTTCACATCAGAGCCCCCACCCATTCACATCATAAGCCCCCTTTCACATTAGAGTCCCTCTTTTTACATCAGAGTTCCCCTTCACATCAGAAGCCCCCCTTTCCCATCAGAGTCCCCAGCTCTAACACTGGGAGACCCCCTTCACATCAGAAACCCCCCTTTCATATCAGAAGCATTTTTTACATAAGAACCCCCTCCTTCACATCATAAGCTCTCTTTCATATCAGCGTCCCCTCCTTTTACATCAGAGTTCCCCCTTCACATCAGAAGCCCCCCTTTCACATCAGAGGTCCTCTTTACATAAGAAGCCCCCCATTCACATTATAAGCCCTCTTTCATATCAGAGTCCCCCCGTTTTACATCAGAGTTCCCTCTTCACATCAGAGGTCCTCTTCACATTGGAGTTCTCAGTCCCCCCTTCACATCAGAGTCCTACCATCACATCTGGAGCCACAGTATGGGAGATGAAGGGAGGTGGAGCAGGCCATGGATGGAGGCGAACTTCCATCTTTTCTGAATGGATCCTACCCTCCCTGGATTATCATCATTAATTTTCATGGTGCTGGTGATTGGCCCATCTGCTACCATGGAAAGGCATGATGCTGTGTGGAAATTTCAAGGCACCCCTGAGGCAACCAGAAAGCATTCCTGAGGCAACCACGGCACCTTGGCTGAGAAAGGCCGACTAGACTTTGAAAAATCTAGGACAGTTTGCACTCCAGCTGTTCCAAAACTACAAATCCCAACATGCATCTGCCTCTGGGAGTTATATCTGTGGCTGTCAGAGCCTTGCAATGCCTCATGGGACTTGTAGTTCCAAAACAGCTGGAGTGCCAAGGTTCGCCACCACTGATCTAGGATGATTTTCTTCTCACGTTAAGCTGCTTCCTATAACAACCAATCAAGTTTCTTATGTTCTTTAAATGATCAAACCTGACTTAAATTACTCTTAAATTCTAAACCGGGACTCATATACACACCCACAACACATGAACAAACACACACAGACACACAAAGGTTGAACTTGTTGGGCCTGTGTCTTTATTGAACCACAAATATTATGTAACTATGTCACTAATTGCTATGGGTAACAGCTTACTTTTGCTCCTGTATTCACTGATATCAGTGCAGGCTAATAGATATAAGATAATTAATTATTCTGTTCTCATCCTGATGCTCTGATTGGCCACTAAACATGACAGTTTTTTTAGATTTGATCATGCATGTAAGTTGATTTGTTGAAGACGTTTTGGAGCTCATGCCCATGGGTGTAATAAATTACTGACATCAATGCAGGATCTTGCTTGGAGAAAGCAGGTAGAAAAATTCTGAGTATAAAATGCATGTTGAAAACTATATGGGCCTATTCACAACTAAGTGTGTGCTTTACCACGCATGCTGCAAAACACATGGCACATTTTGAATCCCGCCAGAAGGTGGTGATTTGAGGGATTTAATGAATTTATACAGGAATATAATATGATTTACCTGAGGATCTCTTGCATGCTTTGTAGTGAAAATTCCTCCTCGGCCACAAAAAGGTGCAAAAACAATGTGTTCAGCGGCTGGAAATGCAAAAAAACATAATTATTTGGAAGAATTTTTTTTTTTTTTTTTTAGTTAGGTGAACCTGTGCCTAAACTATGCACGTTAACCGCTTCCCACTGGCATAACACGCAAAGGCATCAGCACGACAGGTAGGCTTTAACACCCATCTCCGAGAATGAATAGCTTCACATTACACGCAGCTAGAGAGATCAGGGATGGCTTGTTTTATTAATGAACCATGCTTATGGTATGGTGCCTGAAGTGATACCTGCGACAGATAGAACTACACATTGGGTGATGATAAATAAGTGACAGTAGGACTCTCTGCATCAGGCATAGTGGGACTGATTTACTAAAGAAGGTGCATGTACTGTGACGCATTGGACACACTTTTCTCGCATCAAGGGGCTGATGATTTTATATGCTCATTTGGCTCCATCTAGCGGTGGTAATGCCATGTGAACAGCATTCACCCATGCTGGGCAGAAGATTTATACATTAGTCTCTAAGTGTGTGTACACAATTATAGATTACTGCTTGTGAAAGCTTGTTGCATAATAAATACTCATACTTGTAATATGTATGGTAAATGCTCGTACTTATGCTGGCATATTATTTGAACTGACATTGTGGTTTATGGATTTTTTGGAGTTGTTCCTTTGTTTGACACATGCAGGGGTGTTCCTGGAGGTTCTGGGGCACAACGAGAACCGGGGGGTGGGGTCGGTATCTTGCTGACGGTGCTCAACGAGATTGGGGGGGGGGGGGGGGGGGGGGGGGCACAGAGAA